CAGAAATGGATAGTAATGATGGTTGCACAACATTGAGGATGTACCTAATGCCACTGAATTATACTTAAAAATGATTTAAAATGGCAAATTTTATATTATGTATATCTTACCACAATTTTTTAAATGAAGGAAATCTGAATAAAATATAGACTTTAGTTAATAATAATGTATCAGTACTGATTCATCAATTGTAACAAATGTACCATACTAACGAAGATGTTAAAAATAGGGGAAAATGGGTATAGAGTATATGGGAACTTTCTGTACTATCCTCTCAATTTGTCTGTAAATCTAAAATTGTTCTAAAAATTAAAGTCTAGGGAATTCCCTGGCGGTCCAGTGGTTAGGACTCTGTGCTTTCGCTGCTGGGGGCCCGGGTTCAATCCCTGGTTGGGGAATTAATATCCCACAAGCTGTGTGCACAGCCAAAAGGAAAAATAAAATAAAATAAAAAACAAAGTCTATTTTTAAAAATTCAAGGGAGATAAAGGTTAACAGCACTAATATTCCCTACCTCCTCCCATAAAAAGACAAGAAAAATGCTCTTTAAATGAATAAAAAACATGAGCAAGTAATCAGAAAAATTAATGCCAGGGACATGAACAAGCAAGTCACAAAAGAAATGAAAATGCTATAAAAATCTATGCAAAAATATTGAAACTCGTAGGGTTGTGTAAGGATAGAGTTCATATACTTTGCACAGTGTTTGGCATACAATAAATGAAGCTACTAAAACATAACTGATAACTAAAGAAATACAAATTTAAATAACAAAAAATATGTATATGTGTATGTAGGTTATATGTGTGTGTGTGTATATGTGTATATATGTATACATGTGTACGTGTAAATATCCTTTGAGTGAATGATTTCAAAGATACCTGTATATGGATATTCATTGCAACAAAATAACACAGAAAAACTGGAAACAGTCCAAAAGTCTACCAGTGGGGGTTAAACAAACATAACTAAACATTATTATACAAAAATGTGGCAGGTGTATGTATACTGATGACAACTGTCTAAGAAAAATAATAATGAATTGTAAAATTTTTTAAATGGAAGTGATTAAACTAGGTTAGGACTATAACTGCATGCAAAACTATGTGTTTATGTATGTAGTGACCCAAAAAGGGTCACTAAAAAATCACTAAAAAGCCTCCCCAGCTCTGAGTATCTGAGAAATGTAGTTAGGTTATACTCAAAGGAGGAAGCCTTTGGGAAGGAAAGAAATGCTCTAAAACTTTTAAGGACATAATAAATACCTCAACTACAAAACACAAATTTTTATTTCAAAATGCCTAATGTGAAGGAAGTTATTCTTCAGATGAGCTTATATTCACTAGTTAATTACAAACCTCAACCAAAAATTAAAGAGCAAAAACAATCTTCAAAATGTGTGACCAGGGCTTCCCTGGTGGCGCAGTGGTTGAGAGTCCGCCTGCCGATGCAGGGGACACGGGTTCGTGCCCCGGTCCGGGAGGATCCCACATGTCGCGGAGCGGCTGGGCCTGTGAGCCATGGCCGCTAAGCCTGCGCGTCCGGAGCCTGTGCTCCGCAACGGGAGAGGCCACAACAGTGAGAGGCCCGCGTACCGCAAAAAAAAAAAAACAAAAAACAAAAAAATGTGTGACCAGTTCAGGCTTTAATTACAGGTAAAGCAAAATCCTACAGAAGCAAAAGGAGGCAAAATTAAGTAGTAGTCCCATTTGACATAATCAAGTAGCTATAATATTATGGACTGTAGTTAACACTCATAAATGTAAAGGTTCAGGAGTTATGCAGTGTTAACTGAATTTTTTCTTTAAGAAAAGTGGATTAAAATAAGAAAAATAAGTTAGGTCTTACAGTTTTGTGGGCTTTCTTTGAGCCAAAACAAAATAAATCTTTTTCTGGAGGCAGATTGGGGGTAAGGGGGAGTCCAATACTTTTGGAACTAATATACAGTAAATTAATATTTTAAACAATACAGCCACTAGAATCAATGGGACTTAATGAAGACTGGAATAAATGAGTAAATAATAGCAGGGGTACTCTCTATCCTAAAACAAAAATATACCTTAGAACTGTGGTTCTCAACCAGAAGTCATTTTGCCCCCTAAGAGACATTTGGCAACATCTAAAGACATTTTTGACTGTCAGGCCTGAGATGGTGCTGCTGTATACTGTGAGTAGAGGCCATGGAGGTGACAAAACATCTTACAGACCCACCTACCCACCCAAAATGTCAACAGTGCTGAAGTTGAAAAACCCTACCTTAGAAACAGGCTGGAGGTGGCGGGGAGAAACCACTGAATCTATGCTTTGAAATAATCAACTTTATCGTAGAAATCCTAAATCAACAAGGTTTGTTTACCTGTTTAGAAATATTGACATCTTATCAAATAGCATGGAATCTATTAAAGTGACACAATTTTCAAAGTGTTATTCAAAAGAAAGTTAACTGGATTTCCAATTTATCCAAACATTTGAAATTCTGCAAAAGCCACAGGCAAAAAAAAGACAACAAATTAATGCTAAAAGAAAAAAGTTTTTATACACACACATTCTCTGATTCTCATAACCAATATTGAGCAAAAGAAGAATACATTTTGCGTGATTCCATTTATATACAGTTCAAGAACAGTCAAAAACTTTTCTCTTATGTTAGAAATCAGAATAGTGGTTCCTCTGGAGACAAAGAAAAAGTAGAGATGGGAGAGAACATGAGGGGGACTTCTGGGACGGTAATAATTTTGTACTTCTTAATCTGGGTAGTACTTCCATAACTTTCTTTGCTTTGTGACAATTCATCAAGCTGTGTACTAATAATTGGTATACTTTACTGTATACAGATAACCCTTTAATAAAAATGTTTACTTTTTTAAATGGTATATATTTATACCCTAAAAACTTGAGCATTTTGACCCAGAAAGCGAAATTAATGTCAAGAGCAAAAGTAAAGTGCTTTTGTTATACAGGCTGCCTTCCAAGAATTCAAGAAGGATGACACCCCCAGAAAGCTGTAAATACCATACTCAGCGATCACAGAGCATTCAGCCGTACACTTAAGCCACTATATATCCCTTGGCACAAATCCAAAACTTGGACAAACGCTTACAAATGCAGTTGGATTTATTCCACGGACAGTTTGTTTGGATTATTTCCCCCAATGTTAAACTGGGAACTGTTATCAGAGAACAGGCTCTATGAAACAAATGATGCTTTCTCTTTCCTAATCCCACACTTTCCCAAAGCTCTCCCAAACTAAACCCCTCTTGGCTCTTGACTCCTTTAGGATTTCTCCAGGATGCCTGTAACAGTGTCCATCATTGCCTCTCCCAGTATCCACTCTCACAGTCCACCTCCCGCCACACACATGAAAATTCACATTAATGCTCACTCCAGAGGCTAGTCTCCCCCACCAGACTTTCACTCTCCCCCAGCACCTTGCAAATACAATCCAAACTTCAGTACCCTCAAACTCATACCCTCGACAAACTCCCTTCCCAACAGCGCCCCAAAACCAGGGCCCATGCTACCCCAGTCTTTTAGATCCTCTTCTACCACACAGAAAGCCCTTGCTTCTGCAAACAACTCAGCTCCATGGCCACCACTGTAGCTCTGATCTCCAGTCTCCTTCCCTTTAGGGGTCCCCACATCCCCACACTTTCCTGTATTCAAATCCATCCCATTGCCCATCCCCCCTCTGCCCCCAGCCTCTGCTTTCTTCCATCTGACTCTTTCCTAAGTACTAAGACAGGGATGGGAAGTTGGAGGAAGGGTAGGAAAGAACTCTGTCCTGTGTGGAAATGGTGGAGAAAAGACTGTTCAAGTCTGCAGCACAACAACCACGTGCTGAGGCTACAGTCAGAGGCTGGATTCTGAAAGCCCGCCCCACCACTCATTAATGGCAAGGCTTTGGCCAAGCGATTTTACAAACGTAAGCCTCAGTCTCTTGAACTACAAAATGGAGCTAATAAAAACAGCTGCCTCCCAGAGTTGTGAGGTTAAATCAACTACCAGCCAGCTGAGCACTTGGCACAAACCCAACACGGTGAATTCTCAACGACTGACCGTTTCTCTTAGGTCCTCTTCGTGGATGCGGGAAGATGAAAGGTACTTTCTTTCCGCCTCTTTAATGCTAAAGTTCCTGCAAAGTCTCCTCTTGGGGGAGAGCAAGAAGGCAAGGGAGAGAAGGAAAGAAGAAGTACTCTACAGATAGGTGGGTGATACAAAGAATTTTGTCAGGTCCCCAAACTCGGTGTTCTCTCTTTATTATCCGCTTACAATGTGGACGGATCCAAGTTGGATCCAAGAAACCCTTTATGCCTTGCTAAAGGATGGGGGGAAGACATGAATATATACAGCAAATGTGCCTCCACGGATACTCATTTGATGGAATGCAGTAGACCCCCCCCCTCAAATTGCTAAAATGCGTTCCTTGGGGGTCGGAGAATTAGGAAGGAAACCCAAAGTCCCAAAGGATTTTGCTTGAGAGTTTAAGGGAGTACTTCATAATAAGGAGAGATTAAAAGTAAATGCTGGAAACCCTAAAGACTTCTCACTTCGCCTGCAACACAGAGTATCAATTGGTTTGTCAGCAAGTCAGTGAGTTGAGAAAGGAAAAGCGCTTTCCCCCGTCTCTCCTGGGACACCGGGGCTTCCCCGGGTCCCTTCCCAAGAGGGATAAAGGGGAGGGTCTGCGCCAGGGAATCCCCAGCTCCCTACGGAGTGGGACAGGAGGGCCCCCAGGGAGTTTCACTGGGTCCCTTCCCGCCTCTTCCCAGCCCATCTCCTGTAACGGGATGTCTCCTGGGACTCGAGGATCCCCCAGAGGTTCGGCCATCCCTGGATTCCTACCCTCCCAAGACCTCTGGACAGCCCTCCTCGGTCCTCAGAGTTCTTCCCAGTCACTTCTCAGGGTCTCCCGGCCTGTACAGGGTCAGCCCGCCGCCCACGGGGTCCCCTCATGGGCCTCCTCCCGGCCCCTCCCGAGCGCCGCGAGCCCGCGGGGTTACCTGCTGAGACGGCAGCTCCACATGCAGGGCCCGCGCGGCAGAACCGGGAGGCAGCGCGGCGGCCGGGCCCGGGGGCGGCGGGGGGACCGGTCCCCCGACCGACGCTGAAGCGCTCATCTTGACCCGGGAGCCGCCAAGCGGCGGGGCCGGCGCTCCTCCGGCATCCGCCACCACAGCCTAGTCACGACCCGCTGAGCCTCTGAAGCCCAGAAACCAGCCACCCGGGAGGCAGAACCGCTCTACCCCACCGCCGGCCACCGCCGCTGGCTAAGGAAGAGCCATATTACCGCAGTGCAACCCCCACCACTCGCTGAGACCTGGCTTGCCCATTGGTTCAGCTCCCACGGGGGCGGGACCCAATCACAGAAAACGGACGCGCTATTGGGCAGAAGGTCTGTCTATCGCCGGCAGGAACAGGCTGGGGGCGGAGGAACCCAGGGATGGCCTAAATTGCGTCTGTCAAGGGGAGGTAAAACCTGGGGCGTTGCTTCATTTTTTCCCAGTCTAATTGGTTCTTCCACTACCACGGGGCGGGGTCTCCTGGGGGAGCCGCAAGGACCATTGCTCGAGGTCGCTGTCAGTTGTCAGTAAAGGAAAAGAGGGGCGGAGTCTGATTAGGTAGACCTTGCGCCTGGGCTGTGGTGTCACGTGCAGAAGGCAGGAGAGTCACCTGATTAGTGAGAGTCAGTTTTGGGAGCCACTTCCGCCCTGACCTAGTTGCCATGGTAACCGGCCTCCCTAGGAGGGCGGGGATGTATTTGGCGCCAGCTGGGTCGTGGTGGCCGGTCTGTAGTTGTCTTTTCCTGAGGGACTCTTGTCAACGTGTGAGGATTGAAAAGGAATACTTTATGGTTAGACAGAAAACCACTACGCAGGATGCACCAAGACCAGAAACTTGTCGGGCAGTCCTGCCAGCTCCACCCACGACCAGTTCCAACCCACAAGTCCCCGCCCCTCCTCACACTCCACTAACTGGTAGGCTGAGCCAGGCACCTCGGGACACTGTTTCACTTCTGTGAGTGGGGTGTTTATGCTGTTCTTGAAAAGCCTTTGCTACTTTTCTCCTCCTGACTAATGTTTACTTACCCATCAAATCTCATCTGGGGTTGGGATCCCAAAAGGCTTCTCAGATACACTCTGGGACCCTGAGTTAGGAAACTTGCCTCTACTACATTCCTGATTATTCTATTGCATTCTACTGTCTTTTAATAAGTTTGTAACACACATGTGCAGCCACACATACCCCTCCTGCAAACACACAAACTTACACACTGAATTTCTCAAGCAAAAGAACCTTGTCTGATTCATCTCTGGATTCCCGGTGCCTCGCAGAGAATCAGGACATGTGTTTTTGAAGTGAAGGCACAGTTCCAATGCCACTTCTTCCATGAACACCTCCTTGATCATAATGATAGCATTTATAGCAATTGCTTCTGTAATAAATATCATTGAGTCATTCTGAAGAATAATGATCTGCCTTTTTCCCCCTTAGACTGAATTTCTCCACCACCTGGACTGACCTAGCAGAAAGAGCACAGTGTTTCAGAGTCAGACACAACAGGAATCAGGAACTTTTGGAATCTTGGCTCTGCCACCTTCTAGTTATATGTTCCTAGGCAAGCCAGTTTCCCTCTCTCAGCTTTAGTTTTCCCATCTGTAAAATAGTAACAAGGTTGCTGTGGGGATTAAGTAAATTAATGTTAAGTATAGTGCCCAGTGCAGGACCTGGTATATAATAATTGCACTAAAAATATTTTAATAAAAGGTAAGCATACTATCTTTCTAGGGTATTCAGAAGCCTGAAGACACTTTGGATCTGATCCCAGAGCTGGCTAAGATGTATGTCACACCGTCTCCTATTCTGAAACGTTGAGTAGTTCCTCATGGCTAGAGCCTAGGGTATGCAGTCAGGTGTTTGCTGAGAAGGGAGTAATTGAGAAATCCCAAATACCTGGTTCCAAGATCTGGTGGAATTTCACAGAAAACATTTGTCTGTTTCCAAGCTGTATTAGTTTCCTGAGGCTGCTGTATCAAATTACTACAAACTGCCTAGCTTAAAACAACTGAAAGTTGTTCTTTCACAGCTCTAGAGGCCAGAAGCCCCAAATCAAGGGGCTTAGTGCTAGGTCTGAAGAAGTCCAGGGACTGTGGGAGCCAGAGAAGACAGTCATATTTCACAGTGGAGGTGACATTTAGCCTGGGTATTGAGGGACCAATAAGAGTTCACCAGGCAGGGAGGGAAGAAAGGATGTTCCAGCACAGAGAGCAGGAGCGATTTTCCACAAGCCTTTACTGAGGTTCAACTCTGCATCAGGCAGATCACTAGACACCAGATATACAGAACTGAGGTAAATAACACTTCTCAGACTTTTCCACCTACATGCCACAAACCCTAGGAGAGCTGGCACTCACGCCTAGGGGTATGGCAGAAAACTGAAATAGTCTCCTAAGTGTTCAATAAATGCTACCTATCATTATTTTTTTTTCTTTTTCGTTTTTGTTTTTTTGTTTGTTCCTCTGGCTGTGTTGGGTCTTTGTTGCTGTGCATGGGCTTTCTCTACTTGCAGCGAGTGGGGGCTACTCTTCGTTGAGGTGCGCGGGATTCTCATCGTCATGGCTCCTCTTGTTGCAGAGCACGGGCTCTAGAGCGCAGGCTCAGTAGTTGTGGCTCACGGGCTTGGTTGCTCCATGGCATGTGGGATCTTCCCAGGCCAGGGCTCGAACCCGTGTCCCCTGCATTGGCAGGTCGATTCTTAACCACTGGCCACCAGGGAAGTCCCTGTGCCAGGCATTGTTGTAAGCAGTTCATGTGTACACTCACCACAGTGCTGGAGATTAGAGAGCTAAAGCAAGATTTCTGTCACCTGCCCTAGGTCACATGTTTTGAGTTTTAAGCTGGGGTTTGAAAGTAGTCTAACTCCAATGTTGTTAATCCTACATTTTACTGCCTCTAATAAAAGAGTATTATAGCGTATATTTTAAATTTTATTTATACAGTGAAGTCATGTTTTTCTCAGAATATATTTCTATATCATATACAGGAAATTTTAGAAATACATCATGTGTGTTTAATCAGAGGAAAAATACTTTGTATTGGTTTTCATCAAAAGTAATTAGAAATCTCAAAAATCATTTGGTATTTTAGAAATGAGAAAAGGTGCTTTTTAAATGTGCATAAGGGCATTGTAATGTTATGTAAAAAGTGTAGGAGATACAATTGTGTGTATGCATGATAAAATATGAGCTGAAAATACACAAACCAAAACTCCCTAAGCAATAAGTGGTGAAAAATAGCCTTAAAAAGAGTTTACAAGGAAGAAAAACAGGATTACGCAAAAGAAGTTTAGAATATATACGGGGCAGAAGTTTGTCATAAAAATTGTGGTTGAAGCCAAGGGGTGGGGGAAATTCCTATTTTTCTCCTCCTAGTGATCCCATTATAACCCATTAAATGAGAATTTCTTCCACCTTCTCAGAAGTATTAGAAAAAAGCGTCAGATTTGCAGCCTACCCCAAGTAAAGTGAAATGCTTCACGGATAAGAAGACCAGACTCTGCCATCCACTGGCACAGCCCCTCTAAAAGATTGAAGGTCACTGCTTGTATTAGTTTACACCATAAACTAGCTTGCTTAAAACAGCAGAAATTTATTCTCTCATAGGTCTGGAGGCTGGAAGTCCAAAATCAAGGTGGTGTTAGGACTACACTCCCTCAAAGACTCTTAAGGAGAATCCTTCTTTGCCTCTTCCAGCTTGTGGTGGCGCCAGTTGTTTCTTGGCTTGTGGCTACATAACTCCAGTCCCTGCTTCCTTAACATGGCCTCTCCCCTTTCCCTGTGTCTCTCATTTCTTTTACTTTTAAGGACACTTGTCATAGGATTCAGGGCCCTCCCAGATAATCCAGGATTATTTCATCTTGAGATCCTTAATTATATCTGTAAAGACTTTTTCCAAATAAAGTCACATTCACAAGTTCCAGGGATTAGGACATGTCCATATTATTTTGTGGGTCAGCATTTAACCCATCACACCATTCCTATGTGCGGCCTGCCCCTCTTTTCTCTCAGGCCAACCTGCCCAAAAGATGGAGAAATTAAGTTGGTATTAATCTAAACTAGATAGTTTTAAATTAAGATGTTAGTTGTAATCTCCAGAGTAACCATGAAGAAAATAACTCAAAAATATACAGTAAAAGAGACAACAAGAGAATTAAAATAATATATTAGAAAATACATGTTTAACACGAAGGCAGGAATGGAAGGTGAGAAAGAACAACAAAATGGCAGATGTAAACCCTACCTTAGTAATTGCATTAAATGTAATTAACGCTCCAATCAGAAGGCAGAAAGTAGAAGTACTGTATGTATTTTTTAGAAGTCCAACACTATTGTGTCTACAAAAACACACTTCTTATTTAAAGACACAAATAGGTTGAAAGGGAAAGGATAGAAGATATTCCATGCAAATGGTAACCAAGAGAGAACTGGGGTGCCTATATTATACTAATACAGGCTACACAAAACAGATTTTAAGATAAAAATTGTTACTAGATGTAAAGATATTTTATAATGATAAAAGGGTGACTTCATTAGGAAGATATAAAATTATAAACATATGCACATAACAGCAGAGTCCCAAAATATATGAAGCAAAACTTGCAGAATTGAAGGGAAAAATAAACAGTTCAACAACAATACTTGGTTACTTCAATACCCCACTTTCAGTAATGGATAAAACGACTAGGCAGAAGATCAACAAGGAAAAGGAGACTTGAACAACACAATAAACGAACTTGGCCTAATAGATACCTAATCTATAAAACATTCCAACCAACAAAAGCGGAATACATGCTTTTCTCAAATGCACATGGAATGTTCTCTAAAATAGATCATATGTTTGGTCATTAAAAAAGTCCCAATAAATTAAAAGGGGTTGAAATCATACAAAGTATGTTCTAAGAACATAATGAAATCAAATTAGAAATAAATGGCAAAAGAAATTTGGAAAAATAGCAGATACATGGAAATTAACCGACATACTCTTAATAACCATGGGTCAACAAAGAAATCTGAAGATAAATTATAAAAAACTTTGAGATGAATGAAACAAAAACACAACACACTAAAACGGTGGGATGCAGCTAAAGCAGTTCTTAGAGGGAAACTTATAACTCACCCATATTAAACAAGAAAAAAAATCTCAAATTAATAAACTAAACTTCCACCTTAAGACACTGGAAAAAGAAGAGCAAACTAACTCAGAGGAAATACTAGAGGAAAATACGCTAAATACGTTTACACTAAAGCACAAATAAATGACATAAAAA